TATAGTTGTAATTTCGGCGTGGTTTCTGGAATATGGGCGTGGTCATTTTTGTAACTCTGTTCTTGTAACTCGATGTCCGTAACTCGAACTATTCAGCAACTCTCGTTTGTGTTGTATTGTCAGTGATTGTCGCATACAATATCTGTAAAAATTGATATGTTAAAACTTGTAACGTGTCGGAAATTTGATTTTATGCCATGGTTTATGGGTGCCCATTTTGTCATAACACGAGTATACGACATAAAACGAAGTCAATGGCCTCATTGGTCAATTCAAGACAGTCATGGTACAAGACAATGACCTTTATTTGTCTGTCAGTAAAATGCTAATATGTAAGGAACCAGGAGCACATTTACCGTTTCAGAGTGTGAGTGAATAGAGGAACGGCTGTGATAGCAAACCGGAATGACAGATTGAATTCAGTGTTCAGGTAACTCAGAGCAACCTTTGCTGTGACGTTAGTTACAGTCTTACTCTGAAAATTTTCTGGATACCATAATATTGAGTCATTAATAAAACGTAACCGCTCCAACAACTCATCGTTAGTGGATTGTTTTAACGACAGTTTGTATAGCTCAAGCATGGTAGTCTGGAATACAATATTTACGTTTGTTTTGGTTCCAACGTCTTTGACATAATTGTTAACATCTGGAATATTACAGCGGAAAACAAAATCGTTGGAGTCAATGTCTTCGCCACACGAGCTGTTACGTAGAATTCCACTGTTGCCAACGACTGCACAATTCTGCTGCCGTGGTAGATGGTATGTCAAAATATTCAGCGTTTTCCATTTTCTTTGATCCAGTTCCATAGCTTCGATTGAGATTTTTTTCTTGAAAATTCTAATCAGGCTTATGCGCGAAAACTGTTAGTAATGTTTTTCCTGTAAGGAGGAAAAACAAACACATTTTAAGAAATAATATTGACATTTTTAATTTAAATTAATAAAGTATTTTTTCATGAGCGTAAATAAATAACAATTACTACAGAAGTTTGATAAATGTGTTGTCGAAAATCAATTAGATTATTCAAAGAATAAGCTCGGCAACTAATATTTGTCCACTATTTGAGATGCACAAGGGAAAAACAATGTGATCCTAATTATTGAAGTTTAATGAATTTTATTTTACATCTGATGGAAAACCTGAAAACTAATTATTATGCATATCAGGTAAATAATATGCATATAAAATAATGTAAAACTAATACGGTTTGCGAATGTCACAAACCATTTATGTACAAAGTTTCATTGGAATGTGATTAGAACATGAGATATCAATGGAAGGCCGAAACATTATGAATTACTATGCAACTAGGTAATATGAACATTTTTTTTTAACATAGCATTGTGCATTGTCTTATGACATCTATGTACCAAGTTTCATTGAAATATGATTGTTAGTATTTGAGATATGAGCGGAAAATTGACTAATCATTATGCAAATTAGGTAATTAATATGCGAGCATTTTCACCCAAAACTAATCAGGTCTACGCATAGCATCTATGTATCATCGAAATCCATTAAATGGTTATTTAGATATCAGTGAAACAGTCATGAAACAACTACAAATTGTCAAATTATCATGCAAATTAGGTTATTAATGTGCACGGATTTCAATCAAAAAGTATTCAAATCTGAACTTTGTACAGAGCAGCTACGTACTAAGTTTTACCGAAATCTAATTATTAATGTTTGTTTAGATATCAGTGAAACAGACACACACCCATACACATGGAACACGTACAAAATCAAACTTGGCAATATCATATGCAAGTTTGAAAAAATTATATATTTTCTATATATATATTTTCTCCTCTTATACCTTCATTTACGATGATATGGACAAGGTAATAAAATAAATATACCTATCTGCAAACACTCTCGCAATAAAGATGCGTCTAACGTCCAGCTTTGTATACAATTTTGTGAACAAAAGCACGTATACAGAAAATCCACAAAATAGAAGGAACAGAAATAGACTGATTGTGGTGTTTCTCATGGCCAGCTTGACACCGAATTTAGTTGTGTACATTAGCGAGTGTAGATTCTGGAAAAAAACAAAAGAGACGAGAAACATTTGATAATCAACTGTTTTAGTGCTACACATTTGCCACAGCAATATGATTGGTAAGAAATGTGCATTAGGGTTAAATGCATTAAAGGGCGATGGTCGCTGTACCACGCATGTGTCAAATTAGTGTTGATAAACACATTTATTTTCCCATAACCACAACATGTGTGGGGTTGGGAATAAAAAAAACAAACACTTCGCGTTAAAACAATTTCGTCCAAATTCTCTGTGTACCACATGGTCGTTTTTTGACAGGCTTGGAATATATTTCAACATAAAACATACAATATCAGCGTAGAATGTAAAATTATTTTAATCTATTATAAAAACGTTAATGAATAATGTCAGAAATCTGGAACAATAAATCTAATTTTGAATATTTCAACATTATTCCTGTTCCGGTTGGTAGATCTGTGATTCCTTTTCAAGTACACCAATCACCCATTATCACCGATTTTTTTTAATTAAATTCAGTTTGATACAGTATCAACAAGTGAAATACTAATTCAATAATATTTGTCTTTTGTTGACAAAGCACTGGATTCTGTGAAAATAAAAATCACTGTCTCCGCGACATCATTGAACTACTAGTAAATACAACACATTTAGTTACAAAACACACTGTGACAGCTATGTCACAGACATGTTAATGTTTACTAACTGAACCTTACGATAGAAGCGGTCACTGACTCGCATCTGTAACTAGAACACGGAGGTCATTGATACAATAAAGAGAACATACCATTATACAGAAGGGGTATTACCTATTTACCTGATTTACACCTACAATGCCGTTTGTTTGCGAGACGCTTTTATTTTTCGTTCAGCGCAAGGTGCTAATAACCTCTTCCAGCTTGCAAACTGAAAATGAGGACAACAAAAGGGATCAAATTCAGTGGAATTCTCCTATGCACCTATATAGTTTTACATTGCCAATGCGTGGGAAAAAAACTAAACCAACACCTATTCAAACACCACTTTGTCACACGACCCGCATTTCAAGTAGTTGTTTCTAAAATGGCGATATCTTCAATTTTAAAATTTGTAGCGACTATATAGACTTCTTCTTGAAAACTACTAGCTGTATTGCCTTGATACTTGGTATGTAGATGCCTTGAGCAGGCCTCTCAGATTTGTTTCAATATTTTTATAATTTTTTTTGAAAACGCTATATATCGACTGTCGATTAACTACCATGGCTGTAATTTATAACACTGTGGTAACCATAATCAAAGGCAAAACACTAATATATCACAGTATGAAACATTGTTAACTTTATGTTGGGCAGGAAAGTTTACATATTAGATCTTAGTGACTTTTCTTGTCACCATGCTGTGCACATTCCCCGCTATTACAAAGTTTTTATTGTTTCTGCGCACATTTTGCATCTGTACAAGTATATATGTTTTTTGTCTGTTTATCAATCCTGGCAGTCTTCTCGTTTCACCATCGCACGATATGCCAACATCTCGACTACTTTTAGATTGTTTCCACTGCATACGCATCTTGTTTACGCACCCTGGCAGCTGTGGCACAAAATAATACAGCGCTCACGAGACTACAGATGGCAGCCAAGTAAAATATTATCTGGAAACTGCCTGTGCTGTCAAATATCCAACCTGTAAAGAAAGAAAGAATAACTATTTAGGCACTGCTGCGTGTCAATGCACCGTTTTTATAAATTGCGCCCTCCTGTGACAAGGAAATTATGTGATGTGAATATTGACGTCGTTCATGATCGCCTTAATAAGAGTGTTGATATATTATGGACGATAAGCCACTACACAACAAAACATAGAAGTCGATATGAACATGGTTACTAAGTAACCGTGATATGAGCAACATTTCTTTCATCCGACATTATATTATACTTGGCCACTAGAGGGCGCAAGTTATTTGAAACGTTATATGTGGTGTTATACTAATACATGTTTACATTCACAACACGGCCTTTAAAGCGGGAGGGTTGTCACCTGCACGCACGCGCGCGCGCGGGAATTGAGTCACGAGCGATGATAACAACACATGCTAAAAACGCAAGGGCTCATGGGTAGACGCTTATTTGTAAACAGTGACACGCTATGGCCATCTGACGCATGCGTAGGTGACGACTCCCCCGCTTTAAGATAAAATTATTCTTACTTCTTCAAGTATTGAAAAAGTTAGCCTTGGGGGGGGGGGCGTTCGGACATTTTGGTAGTTTGCTGGACATTAAATATAAATATATTTGACAATCAGACTATGCAAACTTGACAAACAGTCTTAAGAATATTACAGTCGATGATCCACCTGATACAACACTTGTAAAATACATTGTTTACACAAAATCTAAACACGCACTGCGGGATGCGACTATAAATCTTTACTGTAAATAAACCATTTTCTGTTCACTGCAAGATCCCACAAGATTCGTGAAATCAAACGTCAACACAGGACAAAGGACATAGCATCGTAATGGTATAAAAACATTCACAAACGCGAAAGTAGTTTCTGTGTATATCTACTGTAGATCTAAACTTGCATCTTTCAGTACATATTGACTTCCGGTAAGGGTTCCCTGTTTCAGACTACGTCCAATGACAGAGAGCTATACAAAACAAATCATCATACCTCCAGCCTGTGTTCCAATTATACCAGCAATTCCCATAGCAAGTAACGCAATCCCATTTCCACGTGAATAATTGGTGGCCCCCACAATGTCTTTCATGCCCACAAATAATGCAGGAATGTAAATTCCATCACAAGCTCCAAGAAGGACACACGAAACAACCATCGCTGGGAATATCGATATTAAGGCAATTGAAAGTTGTGCTGCTCCCATAATAAGTAAAACTATTGGTAGCAGATAGATTGGTCGAATATATCCTTTGTCCACAAACCAACCTTGTACCAGCCTAGTTGACAGACTCGCAATACCCATGGCTGTAACTAAGAAAGAGGCTTTCAGTGCTGCAACCCCAGTGTCAATTGCATGAGGTATAATTAGTGTCAGCGAAATCAAATAACTTATGTCCACAATAAAAGCAGCCATCATCAACAAGGCAAAATTATGATTTGTACACAGCAATTGAAACCCCAGGCCTTTGATAATTGTTTTACAGCAACGGTCAGTTGAGACGTCGGTGTTTTGTTTTTCCTGGTCTTGGCAAGTTATATTGATGGGACGCATAACAAGTGCACATGCAAATGCATGAGAGTTGATCGCTGATAATATTAAGAACGCTCCATACAAGCCATAGTTATCTACAAAAATCTGGGTCATTGGTGGAAACAGAAAGTATCCCAAACCAGCTCCGGTGCATGCGATTCCAGTTGCAAGAGCAAACTGTTTTTCAAAGTATCTTGCGAGCATCACTAAATTCGTGGCTATCAAGAACCCATGTCCAATTCCTGTAAATTAATAAAGAGTTGTTTATTTAGTAATCTATACCATAACGAGCAGGGGTTCTTTCAAACGTACATAATCATACAATTATCAATTACCATATTCCCGACAAATATTCAACCTCCACCAAGTTTCTTCATTAGCTGGGTTAGATATTCAAATCACATTATTTTCATCAATGTTTTGATCTATTTCAATGTAGTTGAAATAACACCAACCTGTTAAGACACCGTATGATATACAAAGATGATAAATATTGAAAGCAAAGAAACTCAGAAACAATCCAATAGTTGATAAAGCAGAGCCAATAATCATTACAGGTCTTGTACCATATCTGTCGTTGAAATAGATCCCAATTGGACCTGCAAAGGTAATATATTAACAATTACATTACTTTCTATCATTTCGTTGTTTACACTACCATTTTTGTTCAGTGTTTTGCTAATGTCCTTTACCAAAAATGTACGTTGTCTATGGAACATGTTCTGTTTATGTTTTTATGAGAAGAGTCCGACGTGTTTTAGACTTGTCAAAAACATGTCTGGGACATTGTGCCCTCTTACTGAGACACGTTTGTAACTTGACTGATAAAAATCATTATTTTAAGTCTAGTTGCATACTAGATGTGGGCATGTTTAAGACTAGTCTTGAGTCCCAGATATCCTCAGTGAATTTTCAAACCTTGAGGCATAATTCTATGAAGTCAATATCTCCCGAGATTATGCGAGATCTGGAGTCTGCCATGTTGGATTGTTGGTAAACACTATGTGGTAGCATTGACGCAGTAGTGTTCAGAAATGGTAAAATCCTGCCATCATGCAAATTATCAGCAACCAATACCTGAAGTCATCTGGAACTTTATTTAACCTTTTCACCACTAGTTCCCTTTTTCATCACAAATTCACAAAATAGTACTGTTGATAGTCTGCATTTGATGGACAGTTTGAGTCAAGGGATTTTCATTGAAATCACAATGACAGGAATGTTGTCTGTTGATATACTTTTCAACATAAGAATGAATACAAACACATTTAGGAGTGTTGCTCGGATTGATGTTCTCATCATCAGGTTTACTTGATGAATGAAATCTACAAAGTATGAATACAATTTTTATTAATTCATTTGTTATTTTATTTTATTGGGTTTTGGTTTTTTGAAAATTTTGTTGAGAACAAATGCTGAGTCTTCATACTAGTGTCAGTGTCTTTACTCATTATGTTGTATTCATGTTTAAATATGTTTACAAAGATTTACATGTCCTAAACATGTCCTTACTGTGTGTTTTAGTAGCAAACCTACATTCATGTCCCAAAAGTGTCCGCATCAGTCGTCTGAAATTATACTGGTTTCAATCTAGTAGATCCAGTCTCTTAAACATGTTTGGGGCACATCTGAAGTATGTATCAGGCACAATAACCAGACATGTTTCAGACCAGCTACAAACATGAATGACACTAACCCCGTTTCGGGAAGCAGTATCATCTGAATTTGTTCATGTACAAAGTTGTCTCACTTTGCTTGCTGTTCCCAATTTAGCACTAGTTTGATAGATAACTTTTATTGTAACCATGCATGTATTTCACTGTAATATATATTCCAATGCAATTCTAATTAGTTTGAAAATAATATAAAGTAATATATTTATACCTACATACAAAAAACATTAGACCAAAATATATAGAGGTGACCAATACAATATCAACAGCAGAAGTAGAAGGCATAGATGATTGCAGTGAACTGATGATAACCCCAGCTAGAGAGAGGTTTCCATATATCAGTAGTCGCGTCACCAGACTGCCTGCCACCACAAACCATCCCCAGCCACCATCAGGGGGACGGGTGAAAGTTTTTGGTCGGGTTTTACAACAAGCCATGTTCTTTCTGCAATAAAAATAGGAAACTACCGGTAAATAGACGATTTTATTTGTAGTTTCAGATTACACACATTTGTAATTGTGTTATTGGCTGCTCTCGCGCAAAAATAAACCTTCCATCAACCTTCATTAACACTTATAGCCTGTGATTCATTAACACTTGTAGTATGTGATTCATTAACACTTGTAGCCTGTGTTTCTGATGAAACAGTAACAGCAGCAGTACTACTAGTATATCTCCAATGAGTCTGGCAGTATAAAACATAAAACTATGAAATTCATTTTGAATTCAGACTATTCTAACTTACAGTTCCATTATTAAGATGTATTGAAGTATTGTAAGAATCATGAAACATATTAAACTGATTTTACGCAAATTCTGGGAAATATACAATAAACTCTCACATTCTTTCGAAGGAATTTTCAGCACATTCGAACACTGGTTAAACAGTTTCAGATATTTGTTTATGTTTTGTGATTCTATTGAATTCCAATATTCATTTCAATTTTAATGTAATTTGAATATGGACGAATCCTTGTTTTGTTCTGACTATCAATATTTCAAATATTATTCCAAAGATCCTAAAAGTTTAAAGTTATATACGAAACAAAATTGTTTGCATATAAATCCCATAAATAAAGAATATGAAATGTTGACCCTGGGTCTGTAAATAAATGATGCAACAAGAATTATTTTATTAGAATTGAACTCGGCCTTCTTTATATGTATAACATATCTCAAGTCATAATTAAATAACATTTGAAAGTAAAATTATTTATAAATAATAAAATGTACAAAAAGATATTTTATATATATAATAATATGATTTTTATTATTTATAAATAAAACAAAGATTTCTATATAATTGATTTGAAATATCATTATTTATTAATAATAAGATTTTACATATAAGTTTAAATCCATAAAAAATTGCTATATAAATAAATGCACAAACGGCACGCCATATTAGTGTGTTGTAATCCGCACTTGTGCACGGCGCTGGTTGTCATGGTGTATACAAGCAGAGTTGAGGCGTCTGAATGAAAACGTTCTACCGTCAAAATCTAGTTGATGTTATTCTACTCCAGCATGCATTACAACAGCGTATCTGAATCGTCAAGGGATAAAGAGGAATTCCTGCCAACTGTTGTGATTAAAGAAATTGGAACTGGAAAACAAACTTTCGTAGGAATTGACAATCATAGATTAAACTGGAGTTGGCCATTCATAGTGCAATATAAACGTGACCTTGCTAATGGGATTGTGTTTTCCCGAGTGTTCAAATAATAGAAGCTGACATTTTCGGACTAACGTTATGTAATTGAAACACAGGACGATAGTATTAGATGGATTACAAAAGATGCTATAGTTAATATGGGAAAATGATTTGCTTGAGCCATTGGTAAATTTATGTAATTGATTTTGCTGTGACAATGTATACATGTATGAACAATTATGTGAATATGGTGTTGTGAGTTATAGGAAGTAGGTGATGTCTTAATTCTTTTGGATATGTCATTTGAATCAAGAGGGGGAGGTTAAAGTACTTGATCGGAAAGAATGATTATATTTGTTCTTTGGCAGTGAATGACTTATTTGACTGTGACCCACCCACCACTCAATTGTAATTTGGCCAGTTGCTATTAGACATCACTAGGATGACTAGTTGGAAGACAACCATACAAATAGTGTGAATAAAATAATCGTCTGTAATGAACAAAGAAATAATAAAGTTTTTTTTTCTTTAACCAACAATAAACAACAAGTTTACAAAAACCATTCGAGTAAGAATAAAATAAAAAGTTTTACCAATAGGAGATACAGGTGATGGTTGAATTATGTCGCCTTGAAGAAAATAAAAAAAAACAAGTAAGTGGTAAGGATTATATAATTGTACAAATGTGTAAGTTGTTGAGTAGAGGAATGTTCAATAGGAAGAACATAGATAATGTACATAATAGATAATGCTTTGGAAATGATTGGACTTCCCATAATTAAATCTTGAGGCACATTGTAAATAACTGGTGAGAGGATGCTAAAAGCACTGCCGTGCATTCAAGCATCTTGTTGTTTTAATTTCAATAAGTATATGTACAGCAACAATAAACTGTGCAAAACCAGTAGTTAATTGTTTACAACACTGTACAAAACAGTATTATGGACCCATATCATGCAAAGTTACAATAAACCCCCTTACTTTAGGCTATTGTACGTTCATCCAACTGTCCATTCAGAATGAATAGGAAATAAAGTAGGAGCAAAGAGACTATATGGAATGTAATTGTACTTCATAGGAATATCATTGATGATATCAATCTCATCAGACTGATAGAACCCGTAAAAGTAATGAATTTATCGCATAGTAATGTGTCATCTGACATATAACCGGAGTGAATTGACCGTGTGCAAAGACAGCATTATTGGTTTGCATAAGACAGCCCACACACATGCTATAAAAAGTAAAATTCTGGTATCACCAATGACAGGGCTGTAAATGAGTCAACATCAAACCAGAAACATAGAATGTAAATGCATGGAACTGTTTGTACATAATACCAGTTCATCCCTTATTATTTATGTCAATCATGTTAAAAATATCTCAAACCATTATGAGGCCAATGAAAAACAAATTTGGTGTTTCCAGTATTAGAGTAAAAAATAATGGGTAATTAGGCAGGGATTTTATTATTTTAGATATATTTTTCCCCAACATGATCAGTCTATATCAAATACAATCATTTTAAACAATGTTGTTTACATGTTGATATTAATATCAACTTTTGTTCATTTCCATAAAATAAAATTAATAACGAATGACAACACATGTCATTGTTTAAGGTTGAGGTGAGTGGCATGAACTGTTGACCGGTGGCACCATTTCTAAAATGGCAGCTGGCGACAGAAAAACTTTCACTGATGTACATGTGTATGTAGACATGAGCACAAGGAATTGGCCTCTATCAGTTACTGCCTAATAAATGACAGTTATTTACATTCCTGCTCTGGCCATTTATCTACAATAGCAACATCACAAGCATGATAAAAGCATTTCTGATGTACACATTGCAGCCCTTGCTGTTTCTTGCATGTGACAAAAATTGTAGTTGGCCAAACAATGGTCATGAAAAGTAAGAATGAATACAGCCAGCCATGCCAATGTGGTGAATGAAATGCTATTTCTTGCATGACTTTCTGCTCAATATTATACAGTGTGTGGTAGCCTATGCCGAATAATCAATGGCATGGTCACAAATGATCATGGAGATAAATCATGATCACATACTTTATAGACACTATAACATTACATTAATGGACAAAGACTATAAATCATATCCATGCCAATGCCATTCTTGCAATTTCATTATTGCTGGCTGCATAGACCAGATTATTAATGTACAAGTATTTACATATATTGGCCTTATTTGGTTTTAGATGCTATTTTATTGAGATGCATCGTGACAACTGTGGCCGTGAAGGACCGGTAGGTTAGGTAATTGTTACTAGTCGCACCGTGCACACACATCATATGAGTTCACAGGCCATAAGCCTAGTAAATCGCTGTCATCATTTATGTACGATGCAATACTTGGCGATTCATTTTTGGCCATTAGATTCTCTGATTCATGACATCATGTGCCAATAAATCCTGAAAATCGGCGTTGCTAAGTGATGAGTCGTTTAGTTCAAAACATTGAATGATCATAGCATGGTGTGCAGAGTTTTAGAGGTAAAGCAATTGTTAAGAATATATTAAAATGTGTGGAAAAGGGTTCTGACCTTTTGTATAATGTCTGTACGGCGTCCTGGGCTGGCTGGCAAAATAATCTACTCATCGAAAGATGCGTGTACGTGTACTGTAGACAATTTCCATGACGCTGCATTGCATGCATAGAGTCGACGTCACGATTTTTGCGTATCAATTTTTAACAAATAATTCACTTTTTTTCTCCTGGGAAAACGTCGTTAATCTTATTTTATTAGCCTGAACTTTGTCTTGAAATCGCAAATTATATCCAAATAAGCGTCTTTGATTTTTTTTGGCTCCCAAAATGGATTCTCGTTTAGAAATGACCTGGTGATTCAAAATTGGCCTCGCATGAAAATACACCGCCTACGGCGGGTCCCGGGATCATTGCGTCTAGTATAAACGATATGTATTTCGGATACATAAGTGTACTGAGTTTTTCCTATAATTTATTGCCAGCAAGGGATTGAGAACACTCACATAGACAATCATTGGATGTTTTACCTTGAGAAAATGTGTATCTTTTATCACAGATTTGTCCGTTTATTTGGTTTATGGTGCCTTTTACTAGTATAGGGTTAGCTACACTGCATCCGGGCAATTATTTAGAACATAGCGATAAAACCTGTGACCCGGTATTAGGACCGGGGTGTAATTTTATGTACTATGCTGATGTGAAATTTTGGCTCATTTCATCCAACTATTCTCATAAGGAAGTCAATTAAAGGATACAATTATGGTGAATTGTGGGTAATTTTTGTCGACGAATTGCAACTGCAGTTATGAGACTTAGTAGCAGGATAAGTTATAGTCTGAACAACAGAAATTTGTAACCAGCATTCCGATCAATTGCCTTGTCCGTCATCTTGGAATTAAAAATAACTCGAAAGTGTTTTATTTTCACCGTGTTCTGGAAGTCTAGGAATCCTGAATTTTGCTTTTGTAGCATTACTGACTGATGTATTTTCTGAATCATAAAATATATCTTTAACTGTTACGTAAAAATATGTGAATTTTCATTCTTGAAAAAATAATTTTCACCCAACAAACTTCAACCGACCATTTTTTAAAAAGCCAAATCGCACAAGTGACCGAGTAAACTTTCTTTTTAATTTGATTTTCATTGCATAAAAAAATTGTCTGTACCAATGCAAGAAAGTTATCGACAATAATATGGCAATGATGTTTATGGTTCATGGAATTTTGCTGTAATTGTTACGTTTGCTACTCTACTCCTAACATAATGACATCCTT